GCAACCTTCAAAACTTTTAGAAGTTTTGGGCCCCATATACCAAGGCTGGTGGGTTCAAACCCGGCCCTGGCTGAACTGCAACAAAGAAATAGCTGGGCGGGCGTTGTGATGGGTGCCTTTGGTCCCAGGTACTCGGGAGGCTGAGGCAAGAGAATTGCCTAAGCCCAAGAGCTGGAGGTTGCTGTGAGCTGTGATGCCAGGCACTCTACTGAGGGCAACAAAGTGAAACTTTGTCTCTAAAATATATATATATATATATTTCTGTCAAGTGATTGGCGATGTTGAGCAGCTTTTTATGTTTTGACCATTTGTAGGTATCTCAGAGGAATGCCATTTACTGATAAATTTACCAACTTGCACATTTTTAAATTTAGCTCGAGTCATGTTAATTATACATATTTTGTTGTGTGACCCATCTGCAGTAATTTTTCATCTTGTAATGCTCACATTTTATAGCTATTGAATACCACTCCTATGTTTCCTTCCTGTGAGCCATTGGCAGCTACCATTCCACTTGCTGTCTTGAGTTTAACAACAGTTCCCGTTTATCTGAGATTAAGGACGTTGTATTTTAATTTTTGTCAATTTTTTTTGTACTTAGCATCCATCCTGAAGTTTCCTGCATGTTGTAGCATGAGAAAGGATGAAATAATTTCTTCTTGTGTATATATATGCATACCACATTTTGTTTATCCATTTTTTTTGGAGATAGAGACTCATTTTGTTGCCCCTAGCTAGAGTGCTGTGGTATCTTAGCTCACACCAACCATAAACTCTTGGGCTCCAGTGAGTCCATAAACTCTTGCCTCAGCCTCCCAAGTTGCTGGGACTACAGGTGCTTACCACTATACCCAGCTAGTTTTTCTATTTTTATTTTATTATTTATTTCTTCAGACAGAGTCACATTCCGTCACTCTGGGTATAGTGCCATGGTATCATAGCTCACAGCAACATCAAACTCTTGGGCTTAAGAGATCCTCTTGCATTGGCATCCCAAATAGCTGGGCCTACAGGTATCTGCCACAATGCCCAGCTATTTTTAGAGACATGGTCTAGCTCTTCCTCAGGCTCATTTCAAATTGCTGAGCTCAGGTGATCCACCTGCCTCCACCTCCTAGAGTGCTAGGATTACAGGCAAGAGCCACTACATGCAGCCCTATCCATTTTTCCATCAATGGACATTTTTGTTGATCCACTTCTTAGTTATTGTGAACAATGGTTTTCAAACATCTTTCTTCATGATTCTTCTT